CGATTCTTCATCCCAAGCTGAAAACTCGTTGGATCTGACACAATTCGAATGAACCATGTTTGAAGTTAGCGACATCACAAAACATGATCTCATCGGTTAGATTTGAGTGACGAAAAGCATCAGGATAATCGGTACTCTGATAGAATACAGCGAATAAAGTCCTGTCCTTGGCTTCGGTGAACTTCAAATAAGACTTGGTTGGCTTTGATCGGCTCTAATAAAATTCTACGAAGTGATTTTGACTTAAAATCACGAGAAAAGGCCACTACATCACAAAATTCTTCAATTCTATTTTGATGCGTTCTGTCGCTGTTGATTTTCGTAACGAAAACATTGAAAAAAGAGGAAAAGAAGAAGCATTCACAAACTAGAGCTGACAACAAAAATGAATTATCTACAGCACTAACTGTTTTATCTGTGATCGAGAAAATGGTAAATTTATTAAATAATCTACTGCTAACAATAACGAAGCCTATTAATAAGCATTTGTTTTAAAAATATCTGTGTTTATTTGATTCAGCTGTATGCACTGTTTCTATGGTTATCTTGTGAAATACGATCTCAATAGAGTTTTGCAAAAATGTTGAGATTGATATTTAGATCCACAGTTCCTGACAGACTCCTTCACAATTCTTTTTTTGAGATTGTGAATAACAGCTATATTGTTTCTTATACTTAAATCCTGTAGGAATTGCGCTGACAATTTTTTTTTAAAAAAGCATTCATATCTATGACTCTAGTAACAGATAATAACTCTTTCAAACTTGAAGTGAATTGTACCTATCATATTGAATTGTGAATCATTTCTTTTACAGTGTTATTAATGGCAATGTTATTCACAGGAGCAACAACATCATCTGTAGAAAGATATTATGCGCGTAGCTTCTTCTTCAACAATCATAAAACAAGTACAATTAGTAATACTACTGAAGAATTCTCATTTCGTCAAAGTTTTAACCAATAGTTCAATGAATTGTTATCAGGAGATTCAAATAAAGAAAAAATTCTAACTCATTTAGTAAATTGGCTTCACTAAAGCAATTCGTATTGTCATCATCATTGTCAAATAGCAACTTCAATAAACTTGATAAACTTTTTCAATTATTAAGTGAAATTGCTGGAAAGGATAAAAAACAATCACCATCATCAAGTAAATTAAATAAATTACTACACTATTTTAGTACTTATGCATTATCATCATTATTAAATAATAGTCAATTAGCTATGCAATTAATTAATCTTACACAAGTCAATAGTGATTTCAGTTCATCGAGTATTAGCAATATGAAATCACTTAATAATTTTGTTAGTTGACAAATCAAACAAAAAAAAAATCAACAATTGTATATTTTCTCAATACTTTCTTTTTCTTTTTGTCCTTCTTTTAATAATGAATAAATATATGTGCAAATTATCGTGGTATTGTTTTTTGGTTAGTGACATATGTTTCTAGTACTTTGTCTTGTTTCAATTCAATCATCGTTCACTCATATACACTCTTCCTCTTCTCGTCTCTTTGTCTAATTGTTTCTATTCGATGCACCTCCCGCTGATTGGATTGAACATGAAGAGAGTATAGAAAAAAAAAGTACGTGACGCCCATGTCTGATGATAGAAGTTATTTAGTTTTTTATTTTGAAGAAGAATTATTGCTGTAACATTCATCATCACTGACAACATCAATATCATTCTCCTCACAACATTCATCTTCATCGACACCTTCTGATAATGGACTATCCGATGTATTTTGTAATTGTCGACGAACTTGTTTTTTATGTTTCATACGACGATTTTGAAACCTAATATATATAGAAATTAATATTATAATTAAGATGGTAAATTGAACTTACCATGTTTTGACCTTAAAATTGTGAAAATCGACGAATAAAAAAAAAAAAGAGAAAACGGAAGATTATAAATATAATAAATATTCTAAGTTTAGTTTTCAAAGAGTAAAAAAATCATAAGTTTCGTATTTACCTGTGCTTCCGATAGATTAAGTGCATTAGCTAATTCGACTCGTTCTGGTGTACTTAAATATTTTTGTCCATCAAATCGTTTTTCAAGACCATTAAGTTGATGATCACTGAACACTGTTCGAGCTTTGCGTCGACGACAATGCTTGAGCGAATGTTCACTGTTAAGATAGGCATGAAAACTCAAACCTAAAACGATAGACATTACAGATGGTCAATCGACGTAATATACTCGCTAGACGCGATGAGACACGCCCCGTCTGACCTTGAGATGAAATCACGCCTTTCCTTTTTTTGTTTTTTTTTTTTACTCAACAGGTGTGCGACTTTTCGTTTTGATTAAATAATTACTTTATGAATAGATCACTAGTTAGACAATGTTCATTGAAGAAAGAAAAAAAGAAAGATGTTGAGCCGATTAGTAAAATATTCTCATTAGGATAACAATTCGTCATACTCATTAGTCATCTCATCATTCAACGACAACATTATTGTCGTCTTAGTGGTCATGCAAAAAAAAAGAAAGAAAAACGAAAAAAGAGAAGATGACGACCACCCGTCGATTTTCTAACAAGAATATCTCTACCTATCATTGGATTACTTATTTCTTTTTAACGTACCATGAAAAAAAAATGGATGTAATTCAGGTTTAATAGCGGCATATTGATTAAATTGATTAGGTGGTTGAAAAAAATTAAGTGATAATGGTGTTATATCATTAGGTAATACAGAAATAGGTTCTTTTGGTGGAAGAGGAGGAGGAGGAGGAGGAGGATTCGATGGTATTGGTACAGGTATTGTTGCTGACGAAGCTGATGTTGTTGTTGGTCGTTTGAAAGCAGAAAGTAAATCATCAATCAAAAAACTACTCTTGATCGTTGTAGTCATATTTATGTTTGTATTACAATCAAGTGATAATAGATGCTCATCAACATTTTTTTCTCTCTTGTGTTTGTCTCAATGGTAATACTAGTGACAAGAATTTCCATAATAAATTGCAAGCAATCAAAATGAGAAAAGAGAGAGAAAGAATTTCATTGGTACTGAAAGTTGAAACGAGAAAACATGATCCTCATTGGACGATAAAATTGTTCTCTCTTTTTCTCTTTTTCTCGAGCTAATTTTGTACTAATATGCTTTGAAGAGGAAAGAAAAAGAAGAGTTTTATTCGGTTCGACGTTGTTAGTTAGCATATTGGAGGATTTACTATATAAGTCGATGTATTGTGGTCCTCTCTTTTCTAATTAGTACGGATGATGTTTGAATAGCATGCAATGCTTTTACAAGTAGAAATAATTAAATCAGATCAATCCAGAGTATTATTTTTTTAGACATCAGAATAAAAGAAAAGAAAAGGTAGTAACAACTGATGAAGAGATTCGGAAATGAATCAAGATTTGCCAATTTAGATATGTCACTCCTATAAAATGTATCTTTGTCTAAAATTATATGAGAAAAATACTTAATAACAAAAATGTTTATTAGAAGAAAAGGAAAAAAAAAGATATTGGTGTATAATTGTGAATTTATGTTATTATTTTTCTTTGAGATTACTTAGAGCTTTTCTCTTGATATTTATTTTTTATTTCAAATTATCTTTATATTGAATTCAACTGGAAAAAAAACTTCATTTTTTATTGTTCCTAAAACAGAAAAGCAGAATATTGGAGAACAAAAAAAAAAGAGAAGATTAATTTCACAATGTAACACAAAGTACTCGATAAATTACTTTATTGATTTATTATTTATTATTCATTTGATTTGACCAACTTTTCCATTTATTGAGAATAATATGAAAAAAACGTCGATTGTATTAATTGAAAAGTATGCTTTTTCCGAACAATTATGTCTGAACGCTCATAATTTTCAATCAATGAAACATGAGTCAAATGTTGATATAGATCTGAAAGATGTTTAATATGTGCATTAGCGATTGTAGCCTGGCCGCAATGTGTTGGCATTTTTGCTTGCAACAATAAACTTCATAGTAATAGTCGATAAAATGAGTTCTACTGCTTTGACAAGTGTTTCAAGAGTTTTTTTTCTTTTATATTGTCTGTAAATCTTTCTATTCGGTACTAAATGTCTTCTTAAAATACCTTAATCAGAAAATTACGTAAAGCAATACAAAACAAAAGAACTTAATGAATCCCATCGGATTAGTTTCTATTTATATCAATGGTGACATATATAAATGAACTAGTAGTGTAACTAGAATATTTTTCCTAAATGAAGAGACATATTCCACAAATAATTATTGAAATTATTTCGTTATTTTAAATAAATAGGAGTTATTGCATTTTTTAACCATATTATTAACACCCACACTCTTACTCGTGCATAAGCTATGGAAGTTAACTTTCATGCTATTACAGATTTGTAAATACTATTTAAAAAAAAGATGTAAAAGTCATATTGTACTCAATAATATTTTCTAATCATCTTTTCTTACAGTCTATAGAACGTAATTGAAAACCTTGAGACACCATCTCTTCATTGAAATATCTAATCCATATTTATTTAATTAGTACTTTGAAAAAACCATTGACTATTCTTCAGATAATCTGTTTACTTTTAATGGCATATGATTTATTTCATTTTTATTTCATGCATTGATTTAAATGAGTCTTTTCTTTTTTTTTCCTTATTTCACAGTATGTATCAGAAAACGTTTTATTATACATTTTCTATAATTTCATCATTCATTACTAAAGTGCAACAATTTTATAGGTACACATAATTTAATTAATCTAAATGAATATATGTACCGTTATGCCAACATTAATTATTTGATAAAAAGGTAACTAATCGGAAATGAGTAGAGACAATATAGCGCTAAAAAAGAAAGTTATGTCATATTGTTATTTCGTTTCTTCTTTCTATTAAGTTGAGACGTGTCACTCACACATACACACACACATATATAAAGTTTGCAAGAAGAATGAACACTATCGAGATAACCCAAAACTGACTAATAGGATAATAATATGAAGAAAAAAAACATGTACAAATATTGGCTATAGTTTATGTTATACGCTGTTGTAAAGCATTGGCTTCAAGATTAGCCAATTCTTCTTGTGTCGTTTCATGTTGTTTATTAAGTTCAGCTATTTGTTGAACAAGAAGAAGACGTTCTTGTAAGATTTTTTCTAATATGGTTTCATTCTAAATAAGAGAAAAGAAAAAGAATCGTCAATATCATTCAAAATAATATTTTAAATAACACGCATACAGTCGAAGCCGATGGTACATTGCTTGATGTTCCACTATAACCATTACCAGTTGTACTTCTAAGCATGCTTGTTGTTGAGTTACTTTTAGGAAGACCTGATTCAAACATATCATATGATGATGGCATATCTATTGGACTAATCATAGATGAACGTGATTCTGGATCAATATTTCGACGTTGAAGAATTTGTTTTGAAAAATCATTATTGTTATTTTCATTTGTGGAAAGAGCCGATGTTGGTCGTGATATTTTTTTTGATATGTCATTTGTTTCACTATAAGTTGAATAACGATATTGATTTGTATCTGTTGGTGTCGCTAAGCATAAACAAAAATATCAATAAAGTCTTCAAATTAAACTTGATAACGTTTGAGTTTCACTCGATTGTGAAATATAGTGCGAAACAATCTCAAATTTTGACAACGAGGTTTGAATTACAATAAGAATAATAAATGATTTCAACTCCTAGAGCCGATTTTGTTTTGTTGAAGGCTTTCATTTCATCGATTCTGCTTATAATAGCTGACTGGGGAATAGTATATCACTTTTAACTATACCAGATGAAATGTCAAAGTCAAATCGTCTAAGTCGTCGCTTTGCTGAATTTACTGAAGATGAACAAAAATTCATTTTGATAATTCAAAAATGTTTGTATCATCTCGAGATATTGATCTCTCTGATAAAATTCGAATAAGTTTTTAGTGTCTCGTCGTTCTCTAGATCATCGCGATACAAAGTATCGGTTTTGTTATAGAGAAAAACACACAAAGTAGAAAGGCCGAATATCACGCGACCGACTAGAGAAATACTCTATTTCTTAACCTATTAATTAATAATAATAACACTTACCATTACTCATACGTTGAGTAAATGTAAGTAATTCATCTGTTGCATTATTTTTTGATCTTTGAATATGTATATTACTTTGATTATTTAACCAACTTTGTCTTGGTTCAGATACTTGAAAATCTGTTTGATCTCGACGAATACGAGCTGAATTTATTGTTGATTGTTGTTGCTGTTGTTGTTGAGAAGTACAATTACCAGAACATTTTTTATTTGATATAATTTCATTATTAACAAGTTGACAAACAGTTTGCATCATTGTTTGTAACATTGAGATTTGATTTTCAATTTTTTGTTGAAAATCTAATTGAGCTTTAATTACAACTGAAAGTTGATCTTTAAGAGTATTTGTTTCTTGATTTGATTGACCTTTTGTACTCAGAGCACACTTGAAAACAGAACATAGATAAAAATAAATTAATAAAACAACAACAAAGATTCCGTTACTTGTTTAACATGACCAGTAAGTGCGATAAGTGCAGTAACAAGTGCTGTACTACATGTATTTGATTGATTATTAAATGATGGATCATTTTTATCCGATTTGTATCCTGTTATAGTTTCTAATTCACGTAATTCAGATGATAAACGATCGAGTAACTAAATAAATGAATTTTTTTTTGTAACGTTTTAATATTTTCGATTAGAATAGTTACGTGAAGTTCTGCTGCTGGGTAAAACGTATATAAGCTTCAATCCTTTTGTTTGATATTTTAACTACAGATAGAGCTCGGTAAACTCTGAGCATAAGTAGGAACCCGAAACTGATAGATCTTAAAAGGAACCTTCTCTTCAGACTTTAAAATAAAATTTTTTTCGACTTTTGGTTCTTCATTGCTAATATAGCTTTGAACCATTCTTTGTCAAATGCTATATAAAGGAAGGCTCTTCGTTGCTAGTTAATATTTTTATTAAACTCAATTCTCGACATTCCTAGCAGAAAAACTCGAGCTACAATTATTCTTTGTTTGTCAAATTCATCTAATAATAATATTATTTCTCATTTCAAATGTACTGAGATCATGCAAGGAAAATTTGTTTTTCGTTTTTCTCAAAATCAACTTATATACGAAAAAGGTGCAGAATCTCCCTCGTTTCTCCGACAGAGTACGTTCGATCGAGCTGAAAATTTTCTTCAAGATACTAGACATTGTTTGGAGAGTCTACTAGTTTTTGTTTTGGAAAAGCTCTGCACCATTGATTGTACAAGAAAACGTGTATTTTGGACGTACGCTCAGTATCTTGATTTTTTTTTATTCAAACAGTGTTGAGCATCTATAAAAGAAACTCCAGCTCTATCTAATGTATTGTGGTTAAAAAAGCTGGGTGATTCTTGGCTTTGGCGATCCAAATATTTCCTCTAAGGAAGGATTTGAGAATCAATTTAGTCTATGACAACTTTTCCTTTACTCATCGAGATCTACGTGCTCTGAAAGTTTCAAGTATTTCTAATAAGTTGTTCTTTAGAAACTCCATAAAAGTGGACGTCTCTTTTATATAAACGATTTACTGTGAAAACATTCGTTTTCCATAGGACGCAAAAAAAGACTTTTTTGACAATTTTCTGATTTTCTGCTATTTAAATGCGTTAAACTCCATTTCCTTATTAAACTGATCCATATTCTTCTGTCTACATTGTGTCATAGATACAGAATTCAATCTGCTATAATCTTGAGGCGTGGAAAGGCTTCATTGATGGCTCCGATAATGAAATTTTCAAGGTGGATTTGATGAGAGTAGGGCATTCACTGAATTAATAGTTAAAATTATTCGGAGATACCGATTACTTTTCAACAATTCACCTCAACTATCACATGAACATTACTCAAAGAATACTTCATATATCAGAGAAACTAAATTCGTTTGGCATGGAGTCTTTATTAGTAATAGAGACAGAACTGATCTGTTTGAACGTGAGAAGATTTATTTTCTATGTTGAAATATCTTTGTCTGAAGAAAAAAACTATGTCAACGTTTTAGCTCCTCTGCATGAAGACCGATCAAATCTTTGTGAACCGCATTCACAATGCTCTATTTATAGTTAAACTATGAGAGTAAAGGATTAAAGTTGATATACTTTTTAGCTAGAAGTTGGACTATTTATGGATATTGTACTTACTTGTTTAAGCTGATTTGTTGATAAATTTCCAGTCGATTCAGTTCCATTGGTTTTAGCACCAGTTTTTGATACATCAGACATAAATGAGACATTATTAACCGAACGAGTTCCAGCTGATTGTTGACGAGATTGAGAATAAAGACTAGGATTACGAGTTGATGATGAATTTCTTTGTTGTTGTTCGTGATCATTGAATAAATGAATATTTGATAATTCATTATGATGATCAATCTTTTTATTTAAACGACTTAAACGAACAGGTTCATTTTCAAGTTCATCTTGTTCTTCTTCACCAACATCAGCCGAACTAACTGATAAATTATCTAATAAAATATAAATAAGAATCTGTTGAGGAAATGTATAACTTAATACCTTCTTCCGATTGATTCCAATCTGCACCACCTGGTGAATTTAAATTTCTTGTTGATGATGGTCTAGAAAACAAAAAGAACTCATTGCGAATACATTCATTGTTCATACCTTGCTGCCGATGATGTTGGTTTTCTTGTATGATTATCATTTAAACTTGTAAAATGGTTTTTTCCACTACGTAACTAAAAATTTATTTTAATTAAATTATTAATTTAGAAAAAAAGTATTCTTTGCCTTACTATACTATTTTTCGGAAGTGCTTTATCCGAACGACTAGTTTGCAAAACATTATTTGATCTTTGCATTAATTCATCAATCTAAATAAATTTGCTTTTTTATATCTGTATATTTTGATTGTTTTTTTTTGAGAACAATATTTACATCTCGTTCATTAAATAATATTTCACGTAAAATACCCAATTGATTACTATTATTTTTTCGTGCATCATGAACAGCTAGAAAATAAATAATAAAATGATAATCGAGTGGAATTTTATTTAATTATAAATACCTTTTGCTAAAAGTTTTCGTTGTTTTTCTTCTTGAATCAATTGTAAATTGCGTGATTGATAGGCTTGTTTTCGTCGAGACTAGAATAAATACAAATCTATTAACAAAAAAAAATATTTTGATAAAATTTATTTACAGCTTCATCATCGCTAAGTCGATGTTGTGAAGGGTCACCAATTGATGGCTAAAATAAATTTTGATTTAAAAAAACAGATGAGAATTTGTTAAAAAAACAATATTCCTTACATCCCAATCTTGACGTTTTTTTAAAGTTGATTTTTTTTGTGGACGACGAATATTTGTTTTCGACATGATGCTCTTTGAGTGTGAATTTTGAAAATATGAACTACAATGGTAAGAGAAAAAAAAAATTGAACCATTAGAAATGTATTTCTATGACGACTGTCCTCTTTTTCGCTTCGTTTATATTGTTAAATCAGCGTCATCTATTCACAGTTAAATGCTTAGCAACAATTCTTTTTTTTTCTTTATAACAGAATATGTTTTGTTACCACAAGGTCGATAATCGTCTTTAATCAAATCTATCAACATGTTGAAAGCAGGTTTACTGCCATCACCAATAATAAATCCATTATCGTCGACTTTAGCTTCATCAAAAAATAAAATTAGTACACAAACTTTTGTTGAACTTCGATCAGGTTTGTTAAAAAAGTTTGTTATAATAATGAGTATTGATTTCGTTTTACTTTTTTTTTAATCATTAGATGTTCCAAATGTAAAAATTTACTTTAGTGTCGATGGTACAAAACCTGATCCATTTCAAATATTTAAAACTGGTACTGTTTCAACTTATCTTTATCGTGGAGCATTTCGTCTTGGACCAGGACGACGTGTTGTGAAAGCTATTGCCGTTACGACGTAAAAAGATTGTTGTTACTATTCGGTCAATATTCTATTAGAATTTTTTAGTGATGGATTACGTGAAAGTCATGTAACAACAAAATATTTTGATGTCAATGATATGTATTCAGAGAATTATCCGGAATATCCAGATGAATATTTGGAAAATGAACAGACATTTAATCAAATGGATAAAAGTCCAGTAAGTCTTTTCTCAATAAAATAATAATTTAATCATATGTATATATAACATAGGAACGAACTCCACCATTGAAAAAGAAGAAAAATCCACGTACTCATAATGATCATCGTCGATCTAATTCAGCCAATCAATCGAAAAATGATCTTGGACGAACAGCATGGGATGATAGTTTTAATGTTCAAGGTAGTATTGAAGGCCCGATTTCACCTGTTAATTATGCTGGTACACAAATTAATATTTGGGGTACACCCGGAGGACATTGGGCTGACGAATTATTACACATTGCTGATCCTAATAGAAATCCTAATTATGGATATATGACTGAACAAATGCTCGAAGTAAATCTTGTACAAAAAGGAATGTTCTTTTCTGACATATAATATTAATTTTAGCGCTTACAACCAGCAAGAAATTTACCTATTGCTCCAACACAACCACCTCGAATTACTGATGTTACTCATGAAGAAGAAGATTTCTGGGATCGAAAACCAAAACCATTCAGTCCAGGCAATGGAAATTGGAAAAAAACTCTTGAACACTTATTTTTAAACATTTATAACTACGTAAAAGATGAACAAGAATTACGTGAACTTTTTGGCTGGAAGAAATTTGGACGAGTACTTAAAACTAATCTTCTGTTTTTCTAATAATATTTCTATTTTTTTTTTTTGTTTCTTAGATTGAAACAGCACGTCTTATTGATAAAGGTGGTAATTATCAAATAGTGACTACGTTTAAAAAACCTCTTGGAGAACAAACATCTTATGAAGAGCCTGCACCTGTTCGTAAACCACCTCCACAACGTCGACCACCAAAACGTATACGAACACCACCTGATACAGAAGAAAGACCCGTTCGACCAACACAAACAATAACACCACCACCATCTCCACCACCTGTTCGTCAAGAAGAATCAATGCATGAAGAAGAACAACGTACACCACGCATTTATATAGAAGAAACCGTGGTACATTATTTCAAATGTGTTTAGTTTTGTTTTTCTTTAAATGCTTTATTTTTATTTAAATAGCAACAAGGCACACTTGTACCATTTCCTGATTTTAATGTCGAACGAGGTAAAAAGAAGATCGAAAATAAAAAACAACAAAATAATTAAAATTTGTGTTTTTTTATACTCAGATTGTGACAACCTTCATAAAGCCATGAAAGGCCTTGGAACAGATGAAGATATGCTTATTCACATACTTGGCAATCGTAGTAATGATCAACGTTTACAAATTCGTGATAAATATAAAACAATGTTTGGTCGCGTAAGATATTGACATAATTAACGATTTGTTTGAATATAAAATAAATTCATATCTAGGATTTAGCTGATGACATAAAAGGTGATACATCAGGAAATTTTCGTCAAGTATTAAAAAATCTTTTATACTCACCTGTTGAATATGATTGTCATGAATTACGACGAGCTATTAAAGGAGCTGGTACAGATGAAGAAGCATTAATTGAAATTTTAGCAAGTCGTTCAAATAAACGTATACAAGCAATTAATGAGCTTTACCAAAAATGTAAATATTTTATCCAGTTATTGAAATATTAGTTTTGTTTTGTTTTTGAATAGTATTTAATCGAACACTTGAAAAGGATGTTGTTGGAGATACAAGTGGATATTTAAAAAAACTATTAGTAATATTGTTACAAGGGCAACGACCAGAATCTAATGAAGTTAATGAAGATGAAGCAGAAAATGATGCAAGAACTTTATATGAAGCTGGCGAAAAAAAATGGGGAACGGATGAATCAAAATTCGTCGAAATTCTTGCAAACCGAAGGTTAATATTTTATTGTTAATACTTAACACTTTTTTATCTGTATTCTCATTTGATTAGCAATGCGCAACTGAAAGCTGTTTTTGACCGTTATCAACAATTTAGTAAAAAAGATATTGAAGCAGCCATTAAATCAGAAACAAGTGGAAACATATGTAAAGGCTTATTAGCAATTGGTAAGTGCACAGTTAAATTAATGTCTGACCTTTTAATTATGTCAGAATCATGAGAATAAGCTCTGTTTATGAAGATGCAAGTTAAATGAATAGATATAGCTTATAAGACTATGAAGCTCTTGAGAAGAGTTCGGGAAATTAGCTTATTACTGCTGAAATACTGCATTCTTATGACAGTTTTTAAACAAATATCTTAGTTCAATTCCATAACATCAAAAAAGAACTGAGTTTTGAATTTTGACTTGAACCTGTACACAAAGATAGATCTCAACGAGGATACTTTCTTGTGAGTTTTTTAGATCTTGTCAATGTTTCGATCTGAATATGCACCTATAATAAAATCGTGTCTTCTATATCGCTTATATATGCCAGAAAAGTCGATGTTTATAGTTCAAAACAGAAGAAAATCAAGACACCAAAAACATAGACAAGAAACTATTCTCGTTAAAATTTCCCTCTATGCAAAATTTCAGATCGAATTTCAAAAATTAGTTTTGCTGATGTGAGCTATGGCATTCATTTAAAAGCTCTGTAAAACTGCACTATCTGTGCAGCAAAGAGATAAGAGCACGAAATAGAGATTGGACCGATACCTGATTATTGCCGATGTGTCTTATTAATTTTGTGTTCTTATTATCTCATAAAGGATGTGTAATGAGACTTTGTTGAAAGTTGATTATATCTAATATCACTATCTGCAAATGGAATAGTATGACACCTCGTCAGTTTAATGTCTGTATGAGTTTCAGACTAACTGGTATCGATCATGAAAAATCCAGATCGGGTCCATTTCTGGTGCTAGTATGTTTTTTCAGGATCATCAAAACGCATTTGAGTCTCTATGACTTACATAATCTCAACTCAGAATTAATTATCTGTTGGTGAGCTTCCCTCGTAAGTTAATTTAATAAATAAAAAAACTTATAAAATTACATGTAAGACAAAAATAACAGATGGAAGTATTATTTTGAGTTTGTGGATTGAATAATATCTTTGTGAAGTAGATTTAAATTAGTATTGAGTCATATTGATAGATAATAATTGAATGTTGAATTTGTTTTAGTTAAAGTTATGCGTAATCGACCAGCTTATTTTGCTTATCAACTCAAGAAAGCATTAAAAGTATGTTTGATTATTTATTATATTTGATTTACATATAATGAAGAAGAATAATATTTAGTCCGTTTTCTTATAAAAGATAAATAATGTGAACAACCAAAAAAGTAATAGGCATGTAATACATTTTGCTTGAAAATATGCACTGATGTTGTAGCTTTTAAAAAACAAAGTATTGCATGCTAAAATTTCACAATGATTCTATAAGAAATACATATGATAAGTATGAATTGATAAAAAAATTCTATATTATACATCTATTCAGTTTTGTTCAATGACAGCAAGTTTCTGAAGAATAGAAAACTATGAACTAAGAATTAAATATGAATGAAAATCTTTACTTTCAAGATCTCATTAATAGTTGAATATAGAAACATAAATATACAATAACATCTTAGGGTATGGGTACTGATGAAGATGAATTAAATCGTGTTGTTATATCACGTTGTGAAGTTGATATGATTCAAATAAAAGAAGAATATGAAAATATTATGAAACGTTCATTAGAAAAACATGTTCAGGTACGTAATATATTTTCTCTCCATCATATAACTTTATCTTCTAAATAATTATTTCAGAGTGATACAAGTGGTGATTATCGAAAAATTCTTCTTGAATTATTAAAAGATCCCAGTCAACGAAGTCAAAGAGCTGGCAATGGTTAATTGAATTATTTTCAGTTTGTAAAATAAACGAATACTTGTTTCTTCTTTCTATAGAGAAATATGAAAATGTCGAATTGCCTGGTTATGAGCAACCTGCTATTTACAATGAAGAAATTATTGTAAATATTTTTTCTTTGATTTTCTATCTTTTCATTATCAAATTTATTTTATAGCAACAAGGAACAATGACAGCAGCTCCAAATTTTGATGCTAATCGAGATGCTGATGCTTTACGAAAAGCTATGAAAGGTTTAGGTACAGATGAACAAGCAATTATTAATATATTAGGTAATCGAAATACTGCTCAACGATTACAAATCAAAGCTGCATTTAAAAATAAATTGGGACGTGTAAGTGTTTTATTAGAGTTTAATTTATTTTGTCTTTTAAATAATTAATATAAATTAAAATAGGATTTAATAGCTGATCTTAAATCTGAAACATCTGGTAATTTTTCGAAATTACTTGAACGTCTAATGATGGATCCTGTTGAACTTGATTGTTTTGAATTAAAACAAGCTGTAAAAGGTTTAGGTACAGATGAAGAAACATTAATTGAAATATTATCAAGTCGTAGTAATGAACGATTAAGAGCAATTGGTGAAACATATCAAAAAAGTATGCTTATTTATTGAATAGATGGAAAATTTGAGATAAAATATTTCTTCACTTTTTTGACTGATTAAGATGGTCAGTACAAACTATGAAATATTGGTTTTTTAAATCAAAGCACCTATGCTTTTTCTGAATCTAAGTTCGAACTATTTTTATACTCATATTTTTAAAGTTATGAACGAATATAGGCAAGTCTCAAAATAAAGTTTGAAAAGTTTTAAGAAAGCTAGAAGACATACAGAAAAGAAGTAAAATTTATTTTAAATATTTTAGAAGAAACAGCAAATATTTCTCTGTAAAAAGATATCTTGAAGATTAATTTTTCGCAAGACATTTACTAACAATGAAAGTGTTGACAAGAAGTACAATAAGATATTCGCGATTTCTTGATTTTCAGACTCATAAAATGCACTCAGTTATCTCTGAAAAATCACTTCGAAAACCTCGGTTTTTAATGTACTTCGTGAAGTACGATCTTGTTAGGCATGCTGTGCAAAAAAGTTGGTATTCGAATATATGTAAAAGCAGACATCATTTTCGGAGAAGATTTCAAAACGTGATGTAGTAAAATGAGACTTAAATAAAATCAGCAACTCTCCACTAGAAATACAAAATTTTGATTTTGAACCAATATTATATAGAATCTGTTAGCCATCTTCATCAATCGACAAACGAAGAAACATTTTATCTCAAAACTTCCGATTCATCTATTATTTATAATAGTTTTGTTATTGGTCTCGTTTTTTCGTTTTAGTGTATACAAAACCATTGGAGAAAGATGTTAAATCAGACACAAGTGGACACTTTCGTCGTTTACTTGTTTCACTTATGCAAGGACGACGACCTGAAACAACTGAAGTTAATGTGGAACAAGCTAAACAAGATGCACAGTCATTACTTGATGCTGGTGAAGCAAAATTTGGAACAGATGAATCAAGATTTAATGCCTTATTTTGTGATCGTAGTGATCCACAATTACGAGCAATTTTTAATGAATATGCTAAATTAACTGGCAAATCAATCGGTAAGAAATTTATATTGACTATATTGATTTAATTATTCTTTTTTATTGATCAGAGGAATCAGTAAAAAGTGAAACAAGCGGCGATCTTCAAAAGGGTCTTTTAGCTATTATACGATGTGTACGAAGTCGTCCACATTTTTTTGCTGAACAATTACGTAAAGCTATGAAGGTATGATAAATTAAACAATTTTTTTTTTTGATTTTATTTTCTTTTATTGTATAGGGAGCTGGTACAAAAGAATCAACATTAAATCGAGTAATAATAACACGTTCAGAAGTTGATCTTATTCAAATAAAAGAAGCATTTTCTCGTTTGTATAATCGAGAATTAGAACGTGATGTTAGTTCAGAAACAAGTGGAGATTATAAAAAATTACTTTTGGAACTACTTAAAAATCCATCACAACGTAGTTGATGAACGATGAAATTTTCAAGTGATATTTAAAAAACTCTTTTATCTGTAGCAATAAACCAAAAACGTTTATATCATGTTGTGCATAAGAATAAATATTGAATTGAATATTCATTTTTGATAAGATTTTAATGTTTTAATAATCAAATGAAATGGTGGACATGTCGAAAATTGAGTAAAATTACTTCCGAGGAAATGAAGAAAAGCAAACATACGATAATAATTATTTTTTGTATACGTGATGGATTTGAACGAAACAAATCTAAGGTGTTTCTAATTGTTATTAAAAGGTCAATCCTTTTGTAAGAATTTGGAACATATAATTGGTTAGGTTTTGATTGCTTCATTAAATATCGTTTGGCTGCTAAAACCTAAACAATGTCTGATTATAATGTGAACTCATAGAGACATATTCGAACAAGTTTACTAAGATATCGAATACATTACATCAAATCTTTGTGAAAGTCTTGTTACACAGATAAATGAAAAAAAAAATATTTATTGCTTTACATAACAATTCAATTTTTTTTCTATTGGATTTTTAATATACATACTGCGAACTTGGTGAAAGTTAAATACTCGCTACGTATTAAATTTCTCAAGTTCACCGTTTAACATCTTTAAGTAAATTGATGCTTTCTTGTTCAGTAACATATTTATCTAATAAATTGTTCATGTATAAAATACTTTTTTTACTCAACATTCAACAGATTCTTCGGTAATGAATTCTGGTACATGCTGATCTTGACTAGATATTGCGGGACCACGAGAAAAAAAAGTGTCGCTCGAGTATATAGTAAAATAGTCTTTAGTTTTAAAAAAATTATCCTATAAATCATATGAATCAGAACATGATTTAAGAGAGATTATTCAAAAAAGTGCTAGTCGTCGACTGAATAAATAAAAAAAAACGAATATTGAAGAATTAGGTTAGATGTAATACAAATAAATTCTCAAATAGTTTGCTCTAGATTGGAAGCGAAACTAAAAAACCATGGTTTCACACATGTTTAATCTTGATACTTGTTAGCAAAGTAACGAGCTGGAATAAAAATGTTACCGAAAAATGCAATTGAATCTGCTACATTCGATTTATTTGAAAGCCTACAATTAAGATTTACATATGCTCATGCGCAGATTTATAAGATGGTTAGTAGATAAATTCAATATGAAGCTTATTCTTATAAATGTATGTACAGTGACTGTCATTTTGATTGAATATCATCGTTTTGTTTGAAATAAATGGAAAGAAAGAAGAAAGAAACAACCTTGAAGTTTGTAATGAATCATACTTATTATTCATGTGAGTTTTGTTCAAATCATTTCCTTTTTCATGTCTGACTTTTATTATATTGCACACATTTTTCTTTTTCATTACGCTTTGACAAATAAGAGTTTATAAAAAGCATTTATTATTTTATTATGAAATATTAAAATACATTATTCCATTATTTGAAAAGCAATCTCAAGTTATTCTTATTCTATTAAATTATTTTGTGTTTCATTTGTTAATAGTAGTATATTGAGTTTCGATAAAATATATTTGAATTCTTTATTAAAATAAAGTAAATCATATTTTTCATCTATATGTATTAATTGATTATCGGACAACTAATATTAAATAAATTTAGTGTCATGTTCATCTGAATAATTGTCTTCGTTTATATCTGCAATTATCTGATGTGTCGACTTAGGATACGATTGAAAAATTGTTTCACGTACTGGATAATAAGGAATATCATTCGTCGATAATATAGATTGATAATAATCCTGATTTGTTTCAATGCATGGATAAAATGTTTCGGTTTGAATCGGTATTGCATATTGACCGATTGGTTTTTGTCTTTGTTCATTTATTGGAATCATCATTTCAATCATTTTATTGGGATTAATAAGTAATGCTATATATTCTTTTTTAAATTTTTTATTATCTTTTGCTAAACGAAGTCGAAGTATAGTAAGAACAATTATTGACAAAAATGCCATAGATAACATCAATAGGATGATAAAACTCTCGATATTTACAGATGAAATCATTGTTAGACTGTATAATGAATGAACAAAACCTCCGTAGGCTTATGCTCAATTTATAAGACCTAGGAGAAGACAAAAGAAGTTCGATTTACATATATATTTTTCTTATATATATTTTCCGACAAATTAATCTCCCAAAAGATTTATCTTTTCTTTTTTCATAAAAATTTGCGGACATGCATTGCAATCAAAAATACTAAAGAAAATGCAAAACTAAAGAAAAACAATAAAAGAAACACAAATAAAATCGAGTCGTTTCCATATTGGCAATTAGACGTGTATAAATTTATTCATTTAACACATATATTTACCACACCAAGATGTATGTGTGTATACTGTAAAAATAAATATCAACATTTCTATTTAAGAATTTTTCTTTCAGCAATAAAGTCTCCTCGTGTTGATCTTATATTTTTAGCTTTAATGTTGCTGAATAAAAAGGTATCTCAGTACTCTGTTCAAGTATTGTAATCATGACAACAAGCATTAAGGGTAATTCTAATATGCCAATATGACTTGCCACATTAACTAATCAGCAGTGAAGAAAAGTTTCTTTTTAAATCTGTTTTTCAACACAATAAACCGACCATGATCTCAAAAATAGAGGAAATAAAGCATTAGAATTATTCATTGTACCGAAAAAAATTCTTCTGGGCTTTTATGTCAATTTGATCATTAAATGTTGTTACATCATTAAGCTAAACATACAATATTCAATTTAAATTAAAATCTAATGATAGTTATTTTAAACTACTTTAAATAATATTGCAGCATTATTTGTAAGAATATATAAGCCTCTATATTGATTTTTTAATAGGATCAGTAAGGTAAATGTGTACTTTTAATATTGGTTATATTTAACTGATAAAAAATAAACTTTTTCTTGATCTTCACTATTTGATTCTTATAAGTTTTTAACTACTCTTAGACCAAGTTTTTCATTGCGTGATAAAAATACGAAGAATAATAAATATTATCTTAGTCTTTCATTTCTATATTTCAAGGTTAAAATGACGTTTTAACAAAGCGTAAGTCCCGGAAATGAATTGATAAATTTAGACTGCTTTGGAAACTATTTTTTTTTTATGTGAAGCATAAAAACTAATTATTTCATTAATATTACGATGATAAACAACAGATCAACGTAGAAAATATAAGCAGTGTAATAAACGTATCCTTAAAATACGATATCTACACATAGGAATGACGTTCGTACTATTCTAAATATCAAGTAACAAAAAAAAAGTAATGAATATCAAAGACATCAATGATTGAAAGATTATTAGACATGAATATGTTTAATCTTTTATTTATAACCCTTTTGTCTTATATTTCTTGCTTGAATGTTAAATACTTCAAGAAATAGATGAAATCATTTTTACACTTATGCTTGCATTCGTCTTTGGTTTTTTTTTATTATAATAAGCTCACTCATTAGGACCAGATTCAGTATGATGTATTTCTCATATATATAATTCAAAAAGAATATGATTGATACTACAAATTTACGAAATGATTTTTGTCAAGTTACTTATATTTGGATACATTCAAAACATAAATTTAACAAACGAGCTCAGAAAAAAAAACATCGACACTTGTTCAACTGTTTGTGCAGAGCAATAATTGACAGTTCAACTTCTTATAAAACATAATCCACGGAGAATACTGCTCTCATAATACAAATGAAGTCGAATAGCTTAATATTTCTTCATCTTCTCTATCCTCCGGACTACTAAACTGTCATCTGATTGTGGCAGTCAGTTAATAGACATATGAAAAATTTAATTATAAAATAATGAATTTACTGGTCAACTACACAATTCCATCAAAAATTTCACAAAGCTTATTTACGATTGCGTAACTAATACTGTTAGTAGCCCTAGTGACCTAAAATAAAGAGAAAAAAAATATTCAGAACACATTCTTATAGTATCATAAATGATTCCAACGCTTATGATAGCTACTTTTTTTGTCATATAATTTCAATTTTTATTGTCACCAAAAGCACAAAAATACAAAAGATAAAATAATCTGAAATAATATTATTTTCTTTACATTTAAACAACATTGATACGAAACTAAATATTTGACTTAAAAGGGGAATAAAGCTGGAATGATAAATTTTACTCATCGCTGACTAGAAAGCTAAATACATCAATGAATTATTGCACGTGTACAAATGTTTTGTCTACCATTTTTCTTCTTCACAATCTTCTCCAAAAAATTTTCCACTGGGTCCATCATCAGGTAATGTAGCTAAGAAAACGATTGATTTCGTAGCAACTTCAATAGAATGACCATGGTGAGTTTTTAAATCCATGGCTGTCAAATTACCAGGTATACATGCATTAACTTTAATTCTTGCTTCTTTTAAATCTTTAGCCAATTGAAGTGTTAACATATTGAGTGCAGATTTTGAAGCACTATATGCGCAATGAAGGCCAGGTTCTCTACTTTTTTCATGAAAATAAAATGAAGCAAGATCACTCGAAACATTAACAATACGACCTGCTGATGATTGACGAAGTAATGGTAAAAATGCCTTTGTTACAGCAAATGCACCAAAAAAATTTACTTCAAAATTTGTTCGAACGATATCCAATGTTAATTCGCTTGGACGTGGTTCTTTCAAAGAGACACTGCTATTATTAATAAGAATATCCAAACGACCATATGCATTTTCAACTTCTGTAACAGCTAAGTCAATTGTTGCTTGATTAGTTACATCAATTAATATATAAGTAACTGGAAGATTTTCAGATGCAAGTTTTTCAGCTGCTATTTCGCCTTTAATTTCATCTCGAGAACCAATTAATACTTCAATACCTTTTTCAGCTAATTGCCGTGCTACTTCAAAGCCGATTCCTTTGGTGCCACCAGTAATTAATGCAACGCGACTGTTATTTTTGTTGGTTTGTGCAGCCATTCGCCTAGTAAATAGAATTTCTTTTGCTCTTGTCTACTTATTT